TGCAGCTTTATTGGGAAACACTTTGGAGGATTTTGCCCAATTTCACCCTTATGTAATGACAAAAAATGACCATGCCAACATACCTGCATACACCAGGCTTTATAATATCATCATAATCATATATACCAGTAACTCAGTGTACAGTAGATGATGTTCTGTATTCAGGTTTATTTCAGTATCTTATGTAACAACTGTGTATTTATCTCCTTTGAAAAGTAAAGCCAAAATCATTCTTAAAAAATAATTAAATAATTATTCACTACAGGTGTAACAAGGTAAGTTTGTCATCCATAGGTGATATACGGAGAAGTTTTTTAGCACAGGATGGTGTAAGGATAAAGAGTTATAGAGCAGCAGCAGAATAATAACAAAAGCAAGTTGGCTGTTGTGTGTATTGTAATGGTTTGTTTGTTGCTCAAGTCTTTTCTGTTACATTCCTTGGGTGTTTCTGTCAACTAATTTAAAAGTAATTATTTTTTTAATATACCTTCAGATGCACTTTTCTTAAAGGTTCTCTAAGTCTTCCTAAGCTTGAAAAGTTTTTGTCACATACAGCAAACATCTTCTCACGATCCACTCGCTACATGTCCTCTGAATATGCTGTGAAAACGTTCGGTCCGCAAATGGCAACAAAAACACTGTGGTCCAGGTTGCACCAACGAGCCAGTGCGAGACCAGCGAGAAAGCAAGCACACACATGAACGCAGTGCCCATGTCTCACTGTCTCGCGCAAGCACGCACAAGTGAGCGCGGTGCCCAGAGAGGCAGTTAGAGCTACAGGCTACAATGAGGCTAAAAGGCGAGCTAGCTCCGTTGTGTTTTGTCGAACGTAAACAGAAGTGAAGTGTTTTTGTTGCCATTTGCAGAGCCTGGGCTGCCTACAGAGACCGGACTCTTTCACAGCATATTCAGAGGACATGTGGCTAGCGGATCGTGAGGAGATGTTTGCTGTATGTGACAAAAACTTTTCAAGCTTAGGAAGACTTAGACAGCCTTTAAAACTAAACACACACAGTATTATATGTACAATATGCAGAATGCAACACAGACCTCCTGTGTTAAGAGTTAATGTTAATACTGTTTATTACTTTTCGACAAATGAATACGACAACAACTACAACAATAAAATTATATTTCACAGCGAGAATTTTGATTGTCTCTGTGTCATCAGGCAGGCATCAAGACAGTGCAGCAGATGTTTTTTTGCAGCCAACTGAAGAAGCAGCTGTTTTTCTTTTTGACCTCTATAAAGGCAAAGGAGGACTCATCACAGCACAAGTAACAGTGAACCACAGTGTGAATGGTCCTGATGGTTCAGATACAGGTTGACATGAATAATCATCCCTAGGAGGAAATATAACAGCAGAGTCTTGTTCTCTGATCTGTTCAGTGTCCTCCTCCAGAGCAGTCTCCTCATTCATACTTTCAGCAGAGGTGGTTTCCGCCTCTGCACCATCCACCACGTCTGCTGGCTGGATGCAGTCTTGATAATGTTCATATTTACAGACACTTCTGTGTGAACCTGAGGCTGAAACAACGCACAGATCTCTCCTGCTGCAACATCAGTGATGGTGTTCAGCACTTATGCTCAAAGCAGTTGAGCTTCTTCACCAGGATGTCCTGAGTGTAACCCTGTCTAACCTTCTCCAGGATAGACAGGACCATGTTGCCTGTGGTGGAGCAGGAGAAGGTGACATTAATGAGCAAAGTGGACAGAGCAGCAGGGACACGGTCCTCAACAGCTTTTGTGACCCCAACAGCCATTTTGCTGAGCCGCTGGGAGGGCATGTTGAGGGAGGTGTTTTTAGAAGGTAACCAGAAGCCCAGCAAGACCTTTTGGAACCACCTCCATCACCACCTCCTGTGGGCTGAGCAGTTTGGAGCTGGGGGCCTCCTGGTGCTGCTCTGTCAGGCTCCTGGCGTACTTCCGAGCCTGGCTGATGATCCTGTAGTGTCTGTAGGACACAGTCATTCAAAGTTTGAAAAAGAGACATCACTACCACTGTGCTCTAACTGAGAGTAAATCTGTGTAAAATACGACTCACTGAAACTGAGGAGGGACCTGTGCACAGCTGAGCAGCCTTCTGCTGGTGTTCACTTTCCACACCTGAAACAATTAGAGAGATATGAAGAGTTACAGAATAAAGCCAGTGTCATGTAGGAGAGTTGACTCAATCTACTGTTGAGTCTCAGGATTGTGTTCTCATCAAGATCCTCCAGTTCAAACTCTCAGAACCTGAAAACACAGCGTCAACCCAGTCACCAGAAAAAATGTGGTACTAAACATGTCTGCAAACCACAAATACGTAACATTTGTGTGTTTAGGTTTAGGCACAAAAACACTTGCTGTGGTTTGGAAAAGATCATGGTTTGGTTAAAATACCCTGTCTGGAGGGGGCACAATCCCTGCAGGAAAGACAGCAACGTCTCAGTAAAAACAACAGCTCTTTGTGACACTTTCCCTGCCAATGGGTCGTTACAAAACACCCACGTTTGAAGTCCGAAAAGCTCGACTATCGACTAGTTGCTTCAAAACACCCACGTTATGAGCTTAAAAGTGGAAGCCGATGGAAACACTGCAATGACTCTAAAATGTCTCCCCCTAGGTGACACGCCATCTACTGTCCGTTTTGCCTCCTGATGACAAAGTCTGCTCATACACTATGTCTCTTTAGAAACATTAATATGATGTGTGTGAAATGTGCAAATGTAACTTATTTGGTGTTTGCAGAGGCGTATAATTTTCTTGTGGTGACAGGGCTGTTACTGTTCCTAGCTTCCTCATTTCAGATTGGAGAGATATGAGCAGAGATAAAGCAGGGCTGGACAGTGTGTGTGCGTGTGTGTCTCAGTAACTCACTGCACTCTCAGTGTGGTTCTGGTCTCCTCCACCAGCAGCTCAGTTGGAGCTGTTTTTTCTGCTGAAGCCTCAAAAGTTCAGTCACCAGGACGATCTAAACAAACACACAAATGATCAGGCGTTTTTTTTTGTTTGAAGACACAGTGTATGAGACTTTACCAGTTATTTGATATTGGTGTAGACTTTGAACTAAACTGGGTCTTACCTGAGCCTCCCAGGAGCCTGCTCATATAGGTGTGTCAAACAACACCTGCGATGGAAATAATGTCGCCTATTAGTTTGTTTGTCAGAGGTTTAACTCCATCTGAAAATGTTTACAGTCTAAAACCCTCTCACATACCCTGATGGGTCTGTAGATGCATCGGCTTCCTTCAGTAAACTCCAAGGATTTTTTTTTTTTTTTTTTGCTGTATATAAAAATACAGAATAAATTTAGGAGTCAAAGCGACAAATCTTCACGAATATTTTACGGTTCAGCAATGAACTCGAGAGTACTCAAACACAGTTGATCCTCCAGATACAAGTGAACAGTGCGAGTTGAGGTTACATGAATATGTATGATGATGACCAGACAGATCAAAAATAATCTAGTTTAGGCACACATTACATTTTATACAAATAAACATGCTGAGAATGAGCAAAAATCCTGTGCAAGACTCATTCAGTCCATGGCTCATTTTCAACTCAAGAAACTACGATTACAGTCACAAAGCTGAGCAATATTATTATTACCAAGGACCACACAAATACGTATTACAGTTTTTTCTACTAATAACAATACACCAGACTGACACTTCGATATTACATGGATTTTTATTCATTACAAATGAATGGAATAAAAATTTAATTCTGCACTGTTATGCAGTCTTAATCATTTTGTAAACATGATAAGAATAAAATGCACATTTAGAGTAAACACTGTGGCTGTGTGGCACTGCAACCTACTGGGAAGTAAAGTTACAGACAAGATTAAAATAAAGAACTCTATTTGTCACTACAAGTTTCTGGAAGAAAGACATTGGCACCAGGTTCATAGATGTGTTCATCACTGACATAAAGAGGAATAAACA